TAGATCGATCACTCATCACATTAGATCGATGAGTGCAGAGCGGTGTATTATTATTTTGTGCCTTATCTAAATGTAATAAGGAATGATGTCGCTTATTACAAGTTCTACATTTGTATTTAGAATTACAAGTGGACACAGAATGCGTTATACTAAGGCAATTTACACAACCTCGTTTAGATTTAATAAAATCTAATCGATTTTTCGGCAGCATTGATTTAAATGTGGAACAGGTATATAACTGATAATGTTCCGAAGTATTACACATAGAACAAGGAGCGCGGTGACTAGAAGTGTCACTTCGTGTAACAAACGAATGTACATTTTGCGGGCGGTTGTTTTTAATATTAGTTAATGTGCTGCGGCTTACTGAATTAATATTATTATTCGTGCGGTCTAATATTTTCACCTGACTTTTTATAAATTCTACAAAATCCATATAACTCGGAATATCTTTATTTCTAGCGGTCATTTCGAAAGCCTGTGTAGTACTTAAATCCACCTTTCGTAAGGCTAAGTTCAATAAAATAAAATCTTGCATATCCTCAATCTTTAATTGACGCATAGCAGCAACAGCGGCATCGAAAGTTTCGATGAAATTATTTAATGAAGCGGAATTATTTGTGGCCGATTTAATGTTAAATAATGTAGAAATGTAATATGAACCTAAGGCTCTTTTATCCTGATATTTCTTTACTAAACTTTCCCATATGGAAGTATAATTATCACCAGACGGAATTATACCGGCCATTATTTTTTGAGCGCTTCCAGTTAATTTACTAAGTAAATACTGAATTCTTTGTGAATCGGTTAAATCGGTGTTACAATGAATATTACTCCTAAAGGATTCATAAAAGCTAGACCACGTGGACATATTCCCGTCAAAACAAGGAATACAGAAAGGTTCTAGTTTGATACTAGATTTATTATGCGGTACCGATTGTGAAGACGAAGGCTTATTCGCTTCGCTTAATATTAAACGACATCTTTTTATTCGACTAAAAATATCTTCAAACGTTAAAAGTGCCTGGTAATCAGGTTCAAATTTAATTCAACTGCATTTGTAACTCGTTTATAGAATCTAAATTTTGTATATATTCATGGCGCTGTGTATCAATGGTTTCACTGTCCGCCATGAATGCCTCTGCGGAGCGTAAGTCGATTGACGACGGTGACAGATTTTTACAAGTATCACGCAATCTTGTAATACGTTGAAATATAGCTCTGTTTTTAGTTTCTAGCATTTTTAAATTCGACTCCATTATCGTTACGATTATTGGCGTTGAAAAATACAAATTAATGTAGGTAGGTATGTACGCTTACTGCGTAATATGTATTATACAAATAATAAAGTATTATTATTAATTAAGCGGTAAATGCGGTAATTATTAGAAAATATACCCAAGACTAGGCTTATAGGTATGGCGTACTAATATATTAAGTACAGAAAATGCGTATGCGCGGGTGAATATACGAATAGGTACAAAGAAGCGGTATGGCTTATAGCGGGCGGTATAATATAATGAAATTATGTACCTATCAATGCGGGGATGTAAATCTCGTCCTAATTATAGTATTTAAGCGGTAGGTATCCGGTTCGAAGGCGTACCATGGACAACTGGGGGGGTAGCGGGTAAGGTAAGTGGACTGTATGGAATTGAAATAAAGGGGGCGCACAGTATATACCTGCGACTGTAGAGCGGGTTTATTCTTGCACAGCTGCTGCACTCGATGAATACTAAGTTTAATACAGGCACGCACATAGTTACTTATTGTTAATGTCAATATTATATTAATTAATTTAAAGCGGAGCGGTTGGGACGAGATGTCACCATTCACGTTAGTAGACGAGGTCGTCGGGCGACCTCAGTTGACATACTGTGCGCGGGAAAGGGATTAGGATATGGGGAATAATACCATACCACTTGATATGTTTATAAATGGCGCGAACAGGTGGTCTTTATAATTCCATTTTATGCATATCTAACGAAATAATTAAGACATTTTGTTTATGTATTTCTTAGTGACTAAGTTTGCCGCTAACTTATAAAATAAGTAATATCGAATCAATGAATGAATGAAAGAAAGAGAGTCTTTTCTCTTACTGACCAGAGATAGTTAATAAAAAAACTTTAACAATTGTTAATTATTAAACGTTTAGGAGATGATACTAGTTTTGGGAAGTAGTAGTAGTTTTATTATTTATTTCTGATCTGAAGGGGACGACTAAGTTATATCTATATGTATATACTTAAATATATTTATATATACATATACAAGCATACAAAGACAGATGTTTTATTATTATTTTTTTGTTAATATGATAATTCAAAGATATACATATATGTATGTCCACACACATATATATATATATATATATAACTCATAAATTTATGAGCAGCCGGAAGCATAAATTAGGTGCAGTTAATCACACGAAATCATTTCAGGATACCAGGGTCCCATAAATTTACAGTGATCATCAGCACAGCCATCATTAACTGACCCGGACATTTTCTGTACTCAATGCGAGCTCGTTTCTATCTCAATTTGTATAATTACTGGCTATTTTTGTTGGGATCGGGATAATAGTGGATTTAATGGTCTGTAGATCTTGTAAGTACCTATCTATTATTACAAACAATAGAGGGACGCTTATTTTTTTTTTAATAGTAAAGAAGCAGTAGTAAATTTAAATGGTAAAGGTTGTAAAATTATTTTCAATTTTCGTCTTTGCCTGTATATGTATATGTATATAGAGTTTCCTGCAGTACCATGTGAAACTCGTACTCGTAGAGTACATTCAGAAAATGCAAGATTTTATTTTCTACGTTGCTTACCGGTCACGAAATTGGGTTAATTTGAACGTTGTTAAATTATAGCTACCTAAAAAGTCTAGGTAGCTATAATTTAACGACGTTCGTTTCTAAGAACACATTTTTGTAATTTTGTATCGATCGCTGTTAGTTTTCGACATAAATGATAAAAATAACAAGGTATTACGCATGTTTATTGCCCTTGTTTTTATTACCTAAATTAAAATTAAACATATGAGTAGATAATAAATGATATAAAATTTAATACAGTAATAATAAATATAATGGTACTAAATCGTATGATATTATTATTGTATTAGATGCATTTATATAATCACTAGCTGCTACCCGCGACTTCGTTTTTTTAGTAAATAAACAGATTGTACCCATCACAAGGATGGATTGAGGTTATGATATTCACGTCAAAAATTATTATGATCCGTTTAACCTTAATTAAGTCTTAAGATGATAACAAACAGATAGACAGATTCACTTTAGCATTTAGATTATTATTTTATATTAAATCTTAATGATCTAGATAAGAATTGAGTTGAGAATTTAATCTAGCACCATCAAAATACCAGTTTTGATTTATTTTGCATTATTTATGCGAGCCTGAGGCCTAATATTAAAATACAGAGCCCAGACCCGAGTAATCAAGCTAGTAATTATATAGTATGGTCACACAATAACAGCTATTAATTGATTAGATTGGTAGTTATAAAGCGCGCCATCTTATGAGTGGGCGCGTAAATGTCGTAAATCAACCACCTACACATGTAGCAAAGGAACAAACACATACAGATATTGTTTTTTGTCTATTAACTACAGAGTACTACATTAAATGAAAAATATTATATTTGTGTGTTATAGATATATATCATTTAAAATGTAGTAAAAGAACCAATTCATAATGATATTTTTATTAAATTGGAATAGCAAAATATGTAACATCCCACCTGATGAAAAGTGCCACATAGTACGTGAACAGACCAGTGCGACAATAAACAGAGTGCCAAAATAGTTTGATATTCGTTTTTAAGTTTGGGTTTAAAAAAAACAACACTTACGTGCAATAACAAATCTCTTAAATCAATTACTTATTGGGGAACACAACATGCAAACTAACTTTTAATAATAATAAAGACATTCATTCATTCTTATCCACAATAATACGAGTATTAGTAAATAACTTAAAAACTAAAACATACTGGTAACGCTGAATGTGACTCCCACCAGCATTTGTTCTGTAGTATAACTATGTTATATTATCTTATGTATATAACTAACTGCTATAACTAAGTTATACCACAGCACTGATTTTCAGTGGGGACTTGGGGACCAAAGTTATTGCAAAAATCTTAAGTTAACAGTTTTTTTACTATACTTATAATCTATAAGAAATTAAATAGATGATTGTAAAGAATTTAGAAAAAGAGCGAACGTTAGATATATGGATACGATGGAGGATGTGTGTGTGAATGAGTAGTGTTCATAGTTAAATTGGCTCTCTTGTAAAGACTGGTCAGCTGTTATAATTATAACTGATTTATTTTGTTACTCACGTAACTATTTATTTACTTATGTAATTTCTATTTGGGAGTTTGTACTCATACAAAATCTCAAAAATGTAATACTGAACAACCTTTATTTAAAAGAGCAACATAGAATTATTAAATCTTTTGCTAAACACCTATTAGATTAAAAATAGTAAAATACAACTCATTACTTTGATGCTAAATAGATAACTAATAGTTATCACTTATCATTTATTTTCTGTTTACCTTGTTGATTTTGATATTACATGACTTGTCAAGAAAGCTATCATTACTTCCGTTCTAAATTAACCAGTGGTAAAATAAAAAATATAACTATTCAAAAGTGTTTATCTGAATAAAGATTATTTCTATTTATATATTAAATGGTAAAAAACGTAAGTAATAAGAATAATAATAACAATATCAGGATAATTCACACAGCGCCATCTAGTCCCAAGTTAAGCTAGCTAAAGCTTGTGTTACGGGTACTAGATAACTGATACAAATATATAGTTTTTTTTTCGTGAATACAAAAGTCTGTGCCGTGCGAGGCCGAATCGAAACCGCGACCTTCGGACGGAAAGCGGTGTGCTAGACCACCGAGGTCGTTATGTATAACGTAAATATGTAAAGCATTGGCTCTGAATTGCAGGCGACTACCTAAGAGATAAATATGACGGCGCGACCGAGGTGAAGGTGTCCCGGCGAGGGAAACTTCGACTCAGCAACCCTCACTACAGCCTGCCCACAGCACAAGATCTCGTCTATTTAGAAGACTCACCGAATTACTGCGTCAAGAACTCTTCCTTAGTGAGTTAAAAAACACGATGTTTAGATTTATAATATCCCAGGACAATTCACACGTACTGGTTAAACTGAAAGAATACTTCACTGATTTTTGTAAGAAAACTTACTACTCTATTTTTGTTTAAAAAAATAGAGATTCCTGTAATTTTATTTATTATAATTTTTCCTTTATAAATAAAAATACATTTATCGAAATAAATTGCCAATATAAAATAATCCTCAGGGATCTTTGGGAACAACTGGGCGTCAGTGTAACAGGACATCAGCGGGCATAGACGGGTGCGCGCTACTCTGTTGCGGCCGAGGGTACAACACCAAGAGGATTACCACCAAAGAACGGTGCAGCTGCAAATTCCACTGGTGCTGTCGCGTGGAATGCAAAACTTGTGTGAAGACTGTTGAGATGTACACTTGTAAATAGTGCCGTCTCTTTTACTCCTAATCTTGATGTATCTACTATTTCAGGTTCACTGACTATCATAACTCTTAGAAGTTTAATTGTAAAGAGGCTATTATCATCAAGCCATCCAAAATGATGTCACATGTTAAGAGAGAGTGTGTCGACTAAGCGTCACATTGTATGACAAGGCTGGAGGAGCAAAAATAACATGAAGTCACATTTCAAAAATCTAATACATATATGTATCTTAATCTTAAAATACGAAATTTGAACTATTAACTAAAAATATTAATAAAATTCCAAAGTAGATGACGTTACACTAGAAAAGATGGAGTCTGAAACTGAAAAATGTGACTATTTGTGAGGACAGGACCTTTCCTGTCCTCACAAATAGTCAGGACTCTTGAGTATTATGGAAATGTTTGAACTATAAAAATATAATAAGTCATATAATTTGTGTGATATATAAACAAACACGAAATAAACAAAATTAATAACAGAGGAAGTGTTTGGATTTGGTACTCGTACGTAAGGAGAATTTTGTAAAATTCTCAATGACGTCTTTATATAAAAAGTCATAAATTCGTGTGACGTACTTAAGGACAATTTATGGACCTAACGCTAGCAAAAAAATATTTCATGTAGTAAGTGTATTAACTTGTGCACCTTCTCAGCAATTTTTGCATAATTATAATCGTCACGATAAATATTGTACGAAAGTCAAATAAAATATATTTGAGATCGTATGAAAAAGTTCATAAATTAAGATTATTTGGGTAGGCTGTCGCTCTCAGACATTTAAAAAGCATATGCCTAAAGACACATTGGGGCACATATATACCTATATACGTAGCACAAATGTGCTGCATGGAGCATGAATCTAATTAATTACTCTATTCTGTGAATCTGTTAATATTTAAACATTCCAAATCTATTCAAATTTAGATTACTTATTTATTATTTTTATGATGTAGTTAAAAAAATAAAGCACCTATGTATTTATAGTTATTTAATTATATGTAAAACTTAGTTAAATAAAAAACAGGCACGAGCAGGTATAATAACTCTTGCCAAATTTGTTATTATTGTCATTTTAGAAATGTAATTTGTAAATACCTAGCTTTAATTCTGTCAATGGTATTCAGTTATTAAGTCATGAAATAGCTTTTACTGGCAACTTTATTGGCGTAACTTGATAATTTGATCACCTGTAATAAAAAACGGCTTTTAATTTCCCAAAAATTACCTGAAAAATGTTGTAAAGATGACTTTATAATTATTATACTATTATGATGTTTTTTTTTCAATAGATTTGCTTGTAAAGTGGATTTAAATTTACCAGTTTTTGATATATAAAGTAACTCATAAAACACACGTGCATTATAAACGGAAATAGTGACGTTTTTTTTCAAATTTCGCAATGACCTGCGCACAGTGACTACCAACAGGCAGCGCGCTTATTTAAAAAAGGAAAACGGCGGGAATGCAACTGTGTGCATAACAGTTTTATGGTTGAGTTTATTTAAAATCAAGTGTGTTGAAAAACATTGTACCTACGATATACGTACATATTTAATCCACTCGGGTCTATTACGCCCTCGCCCTCGGAGCGACCTGAAATTCCATCTCTTGTGTTATTATAGCCATCATTTCGCACTTATATCGTAATATACTATATTGACACACAATATTTTAAAAAACGTTTAGCCCGTAGTTGTGTAATACCTATCTTACATTTAGATCTGTGCTTTCTGAAAATGTGCTATTTCGTTATTTTTGTTTGTAAATATATATTTTAAATATCTACTCTCAACAAAGATCTCAATGCTATGTACATATGTTATGCTATATTATCTACAATTTGGCTAGAATATGCCTTTCTTTGATTGTCAACAATGTATTATCTATTATGTAGTGGATAAGGTATTATTTCTATTAAAGTTCCGAATTAGTATATAAATGTGTATTATTCATTCCTGTTATTAACCTATAGAAATATAATTTATTAAATTCAATTTGTAGTGAGTGACATGACATACTTGTATGCTGTTCCCATCATTTTTGCTTTTTAAATAAAAGCGGTCACACACAATGCAATGATTGACACGTCATAAAACAAAGCAATTTTAGTAGATGTGGACTATGTTTTTTTAGAAAATATTATAATTAATAATGGCTCTGTCATTGCAGCATAAAATGTATAGGTATATTATCTATTGTTCCATTTCGTTGATATAATAAAATCTGTATATTTTCTTTTTAAAACTAATGCGTTTTTAATTCTAATCCTCTGATACAAATCCCGTTTCCATGAAAAAAATTCTTCATCATGTTACCGTTTCCGAAATTGTATTTGGCAAATGCACTAACATCCCAAACCATAAAAAGAAAAAAAACGAATTTTCAATCTGCCATCTGCCAGCCTACTGTTGTAATATTTTTTTGTGTCGAATATTACTGTAATTGAAATTTTATATTCTAAATTAAATAAATTGTGGTGATTGTGGTAGCATAAATAATAATAAATTGATATAGCATTACAATGGGAAAACCATCGATTACTCGACTATCTGTTAGTTTTATTTGATTCTAATATTATTTGCTAGTAAAACATTGGACATTAGTTAGTTGTATCTACATTATTTTTCCTATAAAATGTGTTCATGTAGAAATTAGAAGCTTCTATTATTACTATATAACAAATTTTTGATATATATTCTACGTAAGTACTTCAAATATTCTATAATGTCTGTTTTGAAACCACTATTTTCTTGTCAATGACATCCAAAATGAACATATAAAAACATTCTTAATTCTAATCAAGTTCGTAGTGAAACTTATTACAGGTATCAATACTTGTGTTGTATTACAATTTCTGGGAAAATAAATCGCAAATCCAATGTTATAAACAAAGAGCTCAGTCTACAAAAACAAAAGACTTATTGTACTTACTTAGTTCTGTGGTTTATTACATTGATGGCTTCAATTTACCAGTTTAATAAATGCACATGTTGTCTTTTAAGAAATACTGTAAAATGGTCAGTATTGTTTGCAGAAATGTACTGTACTGTACATATAATAGAATCCACTGTAAATTCACTGTGATTTATCAACGAAATCCCGTAGGATTTTTGTAAAATATTTACTATAAATTTAGTAAAGAATTATCTTAAAATAATATATAATTTCTATCTAAAAGTAGTACCCACATTCTTAATTTCTAATATTTATTGTATTTTTTATATTAAACAATGCTGCAACAATTTTAAAATTATAATTGTATTGTACATGTACATGTAGACTTGCCTTGTCAGTTCGAGCTCATACACTATACTTAAAAACATACTAACAGTCATTAGGCAGGTTAAGTTGGACATCAATCTAGTGACCATGAATTGTCATACAAGCTCAAATTGCTCAGCAGTCAGTGTTACATTTATTCATATTACTAGACACTAGTTGAGTGAGCAATCAAATAATAGGAAAAAAAAATTGTGGGATGAACTGTCCAATGTTCTAAGTTGAACCAATATATGTAAAGTCTGAAAGTCCATATAAAATTGTTAAATAGTTTGCCAGTTTATTATAATGGCTTAAGACATTTACACATAAGGATTGCGTGTTAATGTTAATAATCATATTGTTGCTGCTTGTGAGCTCTGCTCGGGTTACAGCCACTGATTAAGACTATTTCATTTGACAAAATTGCATATTCTGTTGGTCACTCTAAGAATAGAGTAGTGATAACTGTAATTCGAATTTAAAAATAAATATGCATTTTTGTAAACATGTACAAACATGTTTAAAAAAAGAATAAGAGCTGTTTCTTCAGTTCTTAACCTAGAAGTTCTCTGAACTGATGGTAGATTTGACATATCATAAGTCAGTATTCTACCTACATAGATAAATTAATTTGATTGATTTAATTTCATTTATTGCTTAGACATATGAACTATATTGAAGTACCCTATATATAATTATCTTTTTTGATAAGAAGCTATGTGAGTGAGGGTGACCATAAAAAACAATTATACATACAATTATTGTAATACAACATTTATCCAATCAAAGAGAATAATGGAATATTCCTTACTCTCTTTGATGGGATTGGAGAGAGATTTTTAAATATATTAAAATTTATAGTTGTGTATTTGTAATTGAATTATCTGTGATTTTAGGTAGTGTAACAGTTTTTCTGAATATCAAAAGAGTAGATAGTATAATCTTTTTAGCCACATTTATACTATTGCTGAGTAGAGTAGTTGCCAAAAGTAAGTATTGTTATTTATTAATTACTTTTTTTTAATATATCTAATACTTATTTATTTAAACAACTTGTGTGATGATAAAATATGTTGTATGTAAGGTTGACTTAACAAGCATTCTTTACCATTCAACCTTTGCGATGAAGAGTAAGAAATAATGAATTTGGATAAAAACCTTTGCAATAACTAGTAATGAAAAAAATTATTTGGAAAAAGTGTATTATGTTTAAACTAGATTAAAATCCATGTGCATACTAAATTACAATTAAATCCAACTAGTAAATTTTGTGTGAAAGAGAAACAAATGTTCATCATATTTATTATTGTCACAAAGTAACATTTTTATAATATAAAATGGAAATATTATTTTATAATAGGAAAAGAAAACTATAACAGCAGATTCAAATAGCAAACCATCAAGCACTACAGCTTCAAGCAAATCGGACGAGTCAATTTCAAACAAAAAGTCTACAAGAAGCAAATCAATGAGTGCAATGAAGACTCATACGAAGAATAAACGGAAGATGAGAAAAACCAATAAGAAAATAAAAAAACTGTTTCAACAATTACGTAACGAAAGTAACACTAGTTTATTCAATCCTGAGGATAATATTGATCAATTATGTGGAAATAATAATATTTCTCTCAATACATCTAATGATAACAGTGTTATTCTCCTAGAAAATAGTCAGCAAACTGGTAAAAGAAAACAAACAGATATTATTATGAATACATGTAAAAAAAGAAAAATAAGTACTATAGTCATCAATGACGATGCAGACGGCGCTGTGGCACAACGCAATAGCTCTTGTTATACACCTAGACAGATTATAAACCCTAAAAATTGTTCCACACCAATACCCAAAATTTCAGCAACAGTAGTACAAGATGAAGATTGCAATTTAACAAAGGAAATAAACAGAGATTCATATTTAACTATAGATCTCACAACCGACACTACAAAAGACAATACAGATCTTAATGCAGTCATTGATTTAGAGAACACCACAGACAATCAAGATTGTACTTTTGTGACGGCAAGCAATGCTAGTTTGTCGGTGAGTGGCGATTCAGATGTTACCGTTTTAGAAAATAAAGGTAATAGCCGCAATAAAACCAAAATGTTCAATCTGGCAAGTGGTATTGCAAATCTGGATGCTTCCGACAAAGGAAGACTGCTGGAAATAATTACCAAGAGCATATTTAGTGGTTGTAATGTGCCAAAGAAAGTAAAGAGTCTTCTACATGTTAAGGTAAGTGAAAATGATTTTTTAATTTTTAAATGTATTTAGCCTCTCCTCTGGGCCGTTGTACGTCTTTTATGTTTCTGTCTAAATGTAATGTAATTTAATATGGACTGTAAGACTATGAGAGATTAAATGCGGAGAGCATTTAGTCTCTCATCTGGGCCGTTATGCGTCTCTTATGTATCTGTCTATCCTATCTAGGATAAGTCATAAAGCTATATTTATTTATGTATTATATTTCTGTTTTCAGGACAGTGAAAACCAAGCAACTGAAACTGTCGAAGACACCTACATTAAAGAGGTTATACTTGGACAGTCCACCTCCAGAAATAGTATAGGCAGTAATATCTACAATCCCATGAGAGACGCCAAGAACAAGACTGGCCTGAGGATGATTATTATAGACGGTAGCAATGTAGCTATGGAGTAAGTATGTGGCCTGGTCATCATCAGGACGAAGACTTTATAATTAACCCGCTGGATGAGGAGACCAGCTTGCACAATGGCACTAGTCTACTGCTGAACATACTCTCCCCGTAGATAGCGATAAAGTAGAACTTTTTTTTAAATTACTTTTAATGGCAAACAAGCTGACGGCCCACTGGTAAGTGGTAACCGTCGCCTATATACATGAACAGCACTACGGATATCATGCTATCATGTGATGCCCGTATTACCGCTATTCATTCTTACTTGCCAATCCAAAAGACTAAGGTGTCATGCCTCTTATCCTGTAATTTCATTGATTCATCTGACCCTTAAAATACAATTTACAAAGCAAGATGCTTAGCAACTGAAATACACAGGGTGAGACTGTGGTAGCCACGTAGACGACTTTACAGTCTACCTTGGTTAAAATATATATTTCCGATTTCATCTTTTATTTTTTTATGTAAATGTACGCTTGCTCCAGCAATCCCATTAACGTCGTGCCGTGCTGTGACGATACATATTTCTCGGATTATTTTTGTGTTTCGATGTCGGTGTTTACTTGACTGGAGACGCAGTCAGAAATATAAATTGACATACAGTTGAAGGTGATGTATGTCAGCCAAGTTTGAACTGTGAGTTCAAACTTAAACCTTTTTTGTATAAACCATTAGGCCACGACTCCCTCCAAAGTAGGTCAAACTAGATATACGTTTTTAGATATGGTTTCTAAACAGGACACCATGTTAATTATGGCAGGATAATCGTCCCTACCATGCTGGGTAATAGAACTTAGTATTAATTTCGACATATTGATCTCTGGCATTAGGTTTACTGTTCTTTGATATACTAGTTGATTGATTATTTGATTATTGAGTTGCTTTATGCGACATTCTGGGAATTAAAAAGCAGGATTATATTGTGTTCAAGAAACGTATATATAAGAATATGTATAGTAATATAATATATAATAATAGAAATGTATAATAGATTAAAATATTCGTAAGTATCATATATGTATTTTATTACTATATATATATTAACACAACTTCCTATGTTGTGTTAATATATATGTAGTAATACTTTTTTATAAGACTGGACTGAAAAAAATGACGGTCCACCTGATGGTAAGTGGCAACCGTTGCTTATATATATTAGAGCACCATGGATATCACATCATTATATAATACCATTCCCATGTTACCATTCATATTTTGCCGTTCCAGAGGACTAGGATATCAGGCCTCTGAATTCTGTAATTTCACTGCCAAATCTCACCCTACAATCGAAACACAGCTTGCAAACTGCTTGCTGAAATAGGTGAGACTACAAAGTTTATCTCAATATGATTAATGATATATTTAATATGTTAATGATAAGGATAAAATATATTAATATTAAAGATAAGCATAGAATTAGTAATCTAAATATATGATATATACAATGACTAAATACCCACCTGATGGAAAGTGGTAACTGTCATCTGTAAGATGGAACAGCCACAAGGATGTTATTACTTACGAAAATTAAGATCTAGTCTTTATATATTATATAGTATAGTATCATTATAGTATTAAGAAATATAAAGAGATGCAGGAAATGATTTAAATAAAAAAACAGAACAGGTAACGGCTAGTGCATTCTGCTGATCGAACTCAAGACCTCTAGGTTTAGAAAATGATAAATAAAACCAATAAAGCTGTACTGTACTTACAATTGAATGTATTTTTTTATATATTTTATTTTAGAATGATATGCATTTGCTTTGATAAGGCAACTATGTTATTATTATTATAGATTTTAGTATTTATAATAAGATTTCTTTATTCTATTCTAATCTATTTTTAATTGCATTATATTACAGAGTAATTGTAATAATCAAACAATTTAGATTAAGTTCCTTAAACTAATTCAAACGTTAATAAAATTGTAATAAATTAGTTATGCGACCAGTACTAGAGCTGAACTTTGACGATTAAATAAGAAAATAATCATAAAAATGGGTTCAGAATTATAATACTCTCAGAGAGAGATTTCTTTATTTCCTATATTTTAGGTGGAAACAGCGTTTACACATTGCAGAACATACATCGGCAGTTGGTATGGAGCTTCCAGAGGCAAATAACACGGCCACCTGATGGTAAATGGTCACCGTCGCTAATTTACAAGAACAACCCTACGGACATCACGTTGTCATGTGATAACCGTGATACCACTCATCCATTGCCATTCCTAAGCATAAAGTTGTCATATTCCATGAAATATAGCTGTCATATCTCAACTTTGAAACCGGAACCCAGCTCGCTTTTAAAGCTACTTGACGAGAGAAATACCATGGCTGAGATAAAGGTCCGGACAACATTGTACCAATTATATTTATGTTAATGTGTTAAGCTAAGTATTATATTTAAGATTCAAATATTATTTTTTAAGTAAATTAGGCTAGATATATGTATATATTAGTTCATTAGTTTCATCCGGCTCGAAGGACCATTGCATGTGACCTGAAACTAAAAACTGTGTCAATTTATATTTCTGACTAACGCTAATCATAACAACATCTCTAACTAACCTCTACATATCCCATTAGGGATTCCAGTCGTGAGGCTATTTATTTGTGTAGTTTTATCTCGGCATTCTTTTTTATTTACTGTGTAAAAAAATCTTTATCATTGTTATGACGTTTTAACATGGTAACACTTAACATATAAAATACAGTGTGATACTTGTGCTGTTTTATTATAACGGAGTGGTCTAAAATAACTACTGAAATGCAAATAGTGGGATGAATATATGGAGTGACAAGAATGGACAAGATAAATCTTTACTACCTACATAGTATAAAACAAAGTCGCCGTCGTTGTCTGTTCGCTTAAATCTTTTTAATTACCCAACGAATTTGAATGCAGTTTTACAGCAATAGATAGAGTAATTCAAGAGGAAGGTTTATATGTATAATACATGCGTGGTATAATATAAAACAAACGAGAAAATAAAAAAAATATATTGCATCCGTGCGAATCAATCCGGGACTTGTCACTAATAATGAATATGTTAGAGGAAGTATGAAAGTAGCCCCACAGAAGTAGAAGAGTAATTGCTTATCTTGCTATCGGCAAGTAATGCGTAAGAAAGAAAATAATATAAATATGGGGATTAAATAGGTTAATAAAAATTAAATAAACCTAAAAATAAAAGTAAAAAACCACTCTTAGTTTAATTTTTATTAATGCCTATTTTTTAATTTATAATGTCATATTGATGTTAATTTGTGGCACTACTTAATCATTTCACTCATCTATTAGAGGTATGTTACACTATCATATATATAGGATCATTTCCTTCCTCCGATCCCTTTTAAACAGGGATTGAAATTACAACGCGCTGAGCCGAGGTTCGAACCCCTAGCGGTGCCCTTAGATTAAAGTGGTATCGCTAGTCTATCTATCTATATTTTAATGTTATCGCCTATCATTTTCGTTCGGTGAAGCTGTAAAAAGCCAGCTGCAATTCAACACCATTAGAATAGTTCGAAAAAAAAATTGTGTCAATCAATCGTTAGTAATGAATTTGCAAATATGTATTTGTTTATTTTATGAATGATATTGTTAATTTCATACTATATATATATACAACAGTCATTGCGGAACGAATTCTGAGGTACATTTGCGCAAACAACGACCGGTGTTACACCTATTTTAGTAACACTTTCAGTTACGTACTTACTATATTTTAAAAAAGAAATTGAATATAAGTGTAAAATCATTTAGTTTTTACCCCCGCTGGATGCGATTACCGTAAATACCATAAAATAAACAAGCATACGGCCCATCTGATCCTAAACGATTAGCACAGCCTATGGATGTCTGAAACACGCTTTAGTCACGTGCAGAGCATAATTGTAGGTTTTGATTGTAGAAAGAAACTAATAGCTACCTTAACACGTTCGCTCTTTCATGCAGAATAAGGTAGAGACTATCGCAGAAAAGAATCTGAATATAAATGTAGACAACGAGAACGTAAACGTAAAACAAAGAGCACGTTCTTTGTCTACATTTGACGTACACATGATTTTAAGCATAAGTTTAATTTTATAAAAATATGGTACATTCTTCGTAACTGAAAGTGTTACCAAAATTGGTGTGACAGGTTAATTACTAAACAAATTAATTATTCTATGATATGATCCTATATATTTAATAGTGTAATGTAGCCCTATATAATATATTTGTATATTAATTAAGTGTTAATGTTCCAGATATAATAAAGGCAGGGAATTTTCAGTGAAAGCCCTAAAAATTTGCATAGACTATTTCCTAAAACGGGGCCACGTGGTGAGGGCGTTTGTGCCGAGATTCAGGTAATTATTGTTTTTTTTTTAAACTGCAGGTTTGTACTTAATCGCAGATACAGTCAGGAACAGTGCCTGTTATGTTACAAATGTTACAATCCTTCAAGAACTGCTGTGGCTGTTTACCATCAAGTGGAGTTTGGATACATTAGATTAAAATGTTATAATTTTAATATGTATTTAGTACGACCACAAACAAACAATCTTCCAAAATAAGGTGCTACCAAATTATTAGCATTCTCTGATATAAGGCATAGTGTTAGGTATATAGGTGTATATATTATATAGTTAATAGTTATAGAGTAGGTCTAGCGGTTTAGCAGGCCACCTAAACCGATGGTAACAGAATCAATGCAAACTTTTATATCCATGGGTTTGTTTTGTATTAGTCTATGTGTTCTCTATGTATATTATATGTATATGTACTTAAAAATATATATTTATGTATTTGTATCAATTGTGTAGTACCCATAACACAAGCTCTATAGATGACGCTATGTGAGTTGTCCGGGTTATTATTGTTATATTATTGCTTAAATAACACCTTATATATATCGATATAGTGTGACATTGTCACACCTTGAAATCCCATTACTATCATATTTAATATCTATATCCTGTAACTGGGAATACAAATAATATGGTAGCACATAGAAAGAGATTCGTAGATTGCATAAAATCCAAAGGAAATGAAGCGTAAAGTGTACGTTTGTGGCCGTACGGCGTGGTATTCCACAGGTGTAAGTTTGGTATGAGCTCCGATCCGAGGTTGCTTGATGATTTGGAGCGTGACGGCCTGGTGGTCTACACACCTATCATATTTAATGACAGGTCTATTTATTTTTTTTTCAAGCTGTAAAATACCTTATAGAATACAAAATAATAAAATATAAATAGTCTGTATGCACATAGAAAGAGATTCATGACTCGATCCATCTGCTAAATGCATAAATATTTAATTCCAAATGAAATGAAGCGTAATTACTGTATGAATATTATAGGAGGAAATCTTCACATAGTATAAAATTAAGTCATAGGCGTGGTATTCCACAGGTGTAAGTTTGGTATGAGCTCCGATCCGAGGTTGCTTGATGATTTGGAGCGTGACGGTCTGGTGGTCTATACACCTTCCAGGGAGATACAGGGACGCCGGATCGCATCTTACGATGACAGGTTATTTTATTTATTTATTTTTGTACTTTCTGTGTGGATTAGCTTTGTCTGTCACATGTCATCTGCTCTTATAAATAAACAGCTTGCTAGACTAACATATGTATATGAAATAATAATATAAATATTTTTCACTGCAATATTTCCTGTTGAAATCACACAGCTTGTAAAGCAAGCTGCCTAGCGGCTCAAATAAGTGAGACCCACGCAGAAGATTTTATAAAGTACCTCGGTAAAATATCCTCTGTATATTTCTATGTCAGTAGAAGCCCAATCCTTCATTTCCCGTAGATATTGTGCCTACACGTAATATTTCGGTCAACACTTGAGACCCTTCCATTAGTTTACGTCTCCACAAACATAGATTTGTGTTAAGTGTAAAACAGCCCGCATTACGACTCCGCATTGAGTACTCGCGTCTCTAATAAATATTGTAACACATTACCAATACCAATAAATACTAACTACAATAAATAATGCAATTATTTACCGGTATACTCACTACCTACATACTACAATAAATGATATATTAAGTAGCGACACCTCATCACATCACAACATATATAACGCTACAGTGGTGAGGATAAACCGCGCTACAATATCATTTTTTTTATAATAAATGTTATGTTATATCAATTTCAGATACATAGTACAATGCGCCGCAGAATTTGACGGCGTCATCGTGTCCGGTGATAATTACAGAGATCTTCACCGCGAAAATCCAAGATGGCGGTTCGTCATAGAGAATAGAGTGCTTCCCTTCACTTGGGTGAATGATATGATCATGTTCCCACGTGACCCGTTAGGCTGGAATGGACCTACTCTAGAAGAGTTCTTAAGGCATCCACCCGTCACGACCAGTATAGAGATTTCTTAGATTTGAAATGAAATTACATATTATCTGTCAATAGATATTGAACCCTAATGTGATGGTTATTGCGATATTTGTGATAATATATTTGTCTAATTACTCAAATATTAGCTGCTATTATAAATTTAATATTCAACGTGTTTGTCATTTTGTTCGTTCAAAATTGTATCTATTTGTGAATGTATTTAGGTTTAAAATATTATGTTTGATTTGCTATTTTGTATTAAATAGAATAATACATATATATTATATATAGTACAGTATATCCTACACTGTCGTAGAAATATAATAATTTAAATTTCTAAAGGATTCTTACGCTACAATATTCTGAATTGCAACACTGAATATTTATATACTATTTTCTGCTATGGAAAACATTAATATAAAATTTTTTAACCATTTGTTCGTTTAAAAAATTATATATTTCTAAATCTATCACTATGTAGTTAATTCAAAATTATTTAGAAAAAAATATAATTAAATTTTAGTTTAAGCAATGTGTTTTTAAAATTTATATTTTCTAAATATATCCAGTAGTTGATTCAAATGTGAAATTTGGACACTAAAATATTCGATGATATTTTAGAATGTATTAAAAGTTGTTCTATATAATGTAGTAGACATTATGTCTATTTCGCCATTAAGGAAACATTTAAAAGAAATTTGTGTTAACTTAGAAATTAAAATATAGTATATTTTTGAAGTACTTTTACAAAATTAGACAATCTTGTACAAATTATGTCTGTCGTCAAAGATATTATTTCGGCCTAAGGGGCAGATTATTCTAATCTCTATCTACTTCAGAGTTCAGGTTAATTACAGGGTACAGATACAACACCTTAGTCCTAAAGAATAGCAACATATGTATAAGGCTTGTAGTACAGACGTCACGTGACTACGTGATGATGCTGTACATGTACATATAGTCTAGGGCTAATCGTTGCTATTCTAGTCACGTAACAAACAAAAAAAAATGTATTGTAAAAATATTATTTTTAGGACATTTATATATTTCAAGACTGATAATCCGAGTGGTAATTATTTATCGTTTTAAAATTAGATATTTTGAAACGTAAATGTTCGTACAATTCTTGCCATGTAAAATGAGCATGGATTTCTCAATTGAAACGAGATTTTATTTATATGAAGTAAATAAAATTACCGTTTTAAATACTCAACGCTCAGAAAATGTGATGCCGACTGTACTGTTTTACCATTTTGTAGGTCAGTTGTAATTTTTAATAAAACAACCGAAAACGAACTCTGTAAATGTAATTAAAGAATAAAATTAAAACATTGTTTATGTTTTTTAGGGACTTGCAAAATTGTTAAATATTATTAAATATGACACCTATGGTATGGTAATAGTAGTGAAACTATATGAATGTATATGAAACCTAAGATAAATTAGTATAATAATATAACATAGTCACACTTCAAATGCTACTTGAATAAATTGATGTTCATATTATTAAAATAACTGGGATATATCATTAAGATTGTTCTACAAATTGACTTCTATTTCTTTAGAATGTAATGCCATCTTGCAATGCATTTGTCACATTTTAAATAACTCAATGATATGTTTTCTGCATTTGCTAGGTGAATAATGATACCAACTTAGTATATGAATAAATAATTCTTTTTCATCCAAACCAACCAAACATAGACCAAAAATAGAAATTTACACCTGTAGCCAATTCAGACACTTGTAATATTAACGTTGCTATAATATACTTACTTATGTGTTCATACCTGTTATCCACTTCATTAAAGATGTTATTTTTATATTATTATTTGTAAAATATAAGTTGAAAAATACATTTTGCGACATTAAACCTTTGGCATTACGTTGTTGTTGTCTTTGCTTTATATTCCTATAAAAAAGATATCAAGGATCAAGCACTATACAAAATTAATCTTTCCTCGTCTCTGGGGGAAGGAACTGTAAGAGACTACTATTAAGCCATTTGTAACAATGGGCATTGATTCTGTCCATCCGTCCAATTTACCATATATCGATCAACCTTAAGTCTAACTAAAGATAAGCGTATTCCCTATGTAAAGAAAGCTTAGAAATTTTTTAAAGGAAGTTATATTCCCAACTTATATTATTTGCCCACATATATATATACAAATATATGTATATATATATATATATATAGAGAGAGAGAGAGAATGCCTAATTTACACCATTCTTGTACATACAACATAGACATGAAAAGAGTTATGTGGTCAAACATGGTAGCCTGACATGGTCTAGGAAATTGTCCATGACATGGCAATTTCCTAGACCATGAACCACCTCCCAGAAACCATCCTGATAAATTGATGGTGAATTTACCACGATGGGCTAACTGGCCTAACCTCCTGTTCATCTTATCCTCCACTGGTGCCCCGCCAGCATAAAACGTTAGCGCAGGTGCACTATTAAGAAGAACAGAGGTAAAAAATCATCCATAAGAAAAAAAGAGGAAAAAACTTAAACAAACATTAAAGTATATTGGCATTTATTTATACAAATTGAACTATAATTCTATCAAACTTAACACTTGTATTTTTTTAATTATACACATTTCTTAAAAATACACAAGTATAAGCCTCTATAAGGTGCGTTTATAATAAAAAATTGGCAACATTATTTTGACTAAAAGCATGTAAAAATAGAATTAACCATTATAAAAATAACATTCAATTCCTTATCTTAATCTCACTTTCCAATTCCAAAGCTCATACTTCCATGGCTTATTATGTACTGACAGTCTTTCCTAACTTAATATTAATAACTTATATCACTAATAAAAATAATAACTAAAAAATATTAATACAAATAAACAAGTAATACATATATTGCACAGCGCCATCTAGTGGTATAAATAGGAATGAAAAGAAATTTAAATGAATCTAATATTATATTTAGATCAACAATTAAATGTACAATGCATTTATTTGAGACGAATGCTTTGTTAATTATACACACTTTTTTCTAACTGTTAGCACGTTTTGTCCTTTTCTGTCAAATTAATAAAATAATTCAATAGATAAGGACAAACAATTCAATAGTTAAAAATTACATTCATAATTGGTTTAAAAATGCAAGAGTTCGTATACAACGAACCAAAATGAAGTTTTTGGAGTCTGTTCAAGAAGAAATGTTCAATGTCATACCAGATTTATAATAAGGAAGATTTTATTTTGGCACTGCAGCATTAATAGCATTATATTACCGTGTACTTTTACTCTTATATTCTTGAGATATTTATTTATATTCGACAGATTTGTGAACGTAAATTTATGAACCATTATGAGTTGACCCATATAGAGCAATACTTTTTAATAGAGATGCTGTGACATTCGTTGATATTATAATTTTATAATTATTTTACAATTTCACTACATTCCCTTCGCAAATTCCGTTAATTTTATTAATCATACGAAAAATGTCCCAACCCATAATCCGCGGGTTTTTAACTATTTAGATATAATGAAATATAACTTAATGCTAATCCCAGAGAGAGTAGGCAGGCAGTTATTACTTATCAACGTCACTGTGAACGCAACATTTGACATTTCGCTGGATATATTTGAATCTAATAGCAGGGAATTACCTACCGCCATGGGCATACAAAAGGTATACTGGCAAGAGCAGATGTCCATCCATCCAATGAAAATTGGATTGTGGAAGATATTATTGTGCTTTTCATTTTGAAAAGACGACCCGGAAAAAAATATTCTTCCTTAGTTCAACAGCGATCTAGTTTCTGGTCTAGGATATCGGCATACCTATGCCGAATGCTTATCCTCTCTTGGATTAACTTAGTTTGTAAGTTTATCATAATTATAATACATTATTAGAGTGGGGAAGAGAATTATTAGTAATGTGGACTGCTGACCCCATTGCTACCAATGTACTATGTCAGATTAACCTCCACGCGGTTCCCCCTGGAAACCATCGTGATATATTCCTGGTGAATTTGCCACGATGTGCTAACTGATATCTGGCCTCATGCTCATCTCATCATCCTCCATTGGTGGCCCGCCAGCGTATATCATCTCGCAGGCGGGTGCACCATTCCATTATTATCCATTAAAAATACTATATTAGAAGGATCAATTTGATAGTAAGAGAGAGACTAACAAAGTATTAATTTCAGACAAAATAGTTTGTATCAGCTCTCTTACTATATACGTATATTATTTTCGTTGATTATTTTAAATATAAATAGAATCATTAACTACAAGTTGATAATTTGTCTATGTCTTTTTTCGTAATTGTACAGTTTAGCCAAACTCGCCTATCATTGGCCATAGAAAGATATTATATATAAATCTTTACATAGTATGGATTTTTTTTGTTTTTTGCAATAGTATATGTTGGTGGTCACTGTATTATCTAATATCTGAATTTAAGACTGTATTATCGTTAAAAGGTACAACATTGTTTTTTAAAAGAATACGAGCTGTCTTTCTTGTCAGTTCTTCTCCTCTCAAAATTTTTCCGAACTGACGGTAGATTTGACATATGATAAGAGTCTGTATTAGACCTACACGAATAAAGATATTTTGAATTTGAATTTGAGCGAGACTTGTATTATTACAAATAAAAGATAATACAAAAACGTATTCATAGAATTATATCATGCACATACTATAAAATGTTTAATTTAAAGTATTAATAAAAATCATCAAACCATTAAATGTAAATTACATTGCATTATAACAGTAATAATAAACATGAAAAAACTCATATGAAAATCAAATATTTACAATTTTAAATAAACATATATTAGAAATTTAAGGTTGCTTTATTTTGGCACTAAATGTATATTAAATAAAACTGAAAATTTACAAAACTAGATATTGTTCGGACGAAGAGAACAGATATTAAAAACATTAGTGAAACAAAAAATAAACATGCATAAAACAAAATAACTAATTAAACTAACTATGCTACATTTATTTCGTTTTTCCAACAAATTAAATAAGTAGTCTTATTGTGCCCGTGATACTCATTCCGTTAGCATTTCAGAGGACAAGATATTATGCCTCTTATCATGTAATTTTACTGCCTAAATCCACTGATCGAATTGATGCTACAACCGAAAACACCTTAAAAATAATACTAAACATAAAATAGACTAGAAAGCAAAGTTTAACAATTCATTTTTAATATTATATTAAATGTGATGATTATATTAATTGAACGGACTTCAACCTCATCTTCCATTAATATCTCGCCGCTGAATATTGTCAGTATATACAGACGTGTGCACCATTCCACAATATCGCTTAATAATAAACTGATTTAACTCACATATTTTAAAAATTAATGATAACGCAAAACATTCAAGTCGATTTTCCAATATTTGTAATTTTTTACTTAAATTTAACTCACATGTACAACATAATGGAAATTAATGCTTAAAGGAAAACATTCAAGTAGATTTTCCAAAATTTGTATTATTATTGTGTGATAGATGTAGGACATTTTGATAAATATATATACTATATGTAAAGTCAAAGGATTTCCTTATTTATAGATAGTATTCAATAAAAGTACTATTATTGTAGTGAGAATGGTGATTGTCCCAAATATCACATTAGTGAATATACAAATATTATGATCCATACTATAAGCATAAATGCGAAAATAACTCTGACTGTCTGTCTCGCTTTTACGCCAAATCTATTGAACAGATTTACATGAAATTTAGTCCACAGATAGTCTGAGAAAGGACATAAAGCTACTTTTTAATGCGGAAAGGGGTTGAAATGGGTAATGAAAGGTTGTATGGAAGTATCGTTATTTTTAAAGCTAGAAGCTTAAAACTTAGCTACCAACTTTGAAGCCAGAAAGATGAAAATTTTTTCTTTAGCTATTTTGGATTAGATTATTAAATATTTTTTATTTATATCGTCAAGGTCACTATTCCACGCGGGCACACCTAATATTGTATAATTTTTATTTACTAAGGTATATGTCCTACATCCATATCACATACTAATATAGATATGTGCATTTAGGTTTCATTTTGTTTTCAATTCACAGTAAATAAAAATAAAAATGCAATTCTCAACTCGAGGCGTTGGACTGTACTTTATCTACATCATGTGCAATGCGTCAGTCTTAGTAGACTAGGAATATATATGATCTTCTGCCTTTATACGACACGTTCCCCCGTACAGTCCAATTCAAACGGGGATTGAAATTACGACGGCCTTGAGCCTCAGCTCAAGGCCGTCCTCAAGGCAAGGCAAGAACCTCAGTTCGAACCCCTAGCGGTGCCATCAGACTGAAGTAGTATTCGTCAGGCGGGAGATGGCCTTCAGCCGCTCCATAAGTCTGCGACTGCCATCTGCACTAGATCCCTATCGTCCAGCGAAGCTGTAAAGGCCAGCGGCGGCCAACAGCTTTAGAGTAGTTTGAAAAACGACACGTTCTTTCACGAGCAATCAGGAGCGCGCGCGATTCAGCGAGTGCAATCGTAAGTGATTACATTTCACTATTTTTTGTGTTCACTCTTTCACGTGTGATAAATAAAAGTTTCATTTCACTTTCCTTTAAAAAATTATATTATTTTCACATATAATTTCCAGAGACAAACTCCATACTTTTAATTTCTTCTAATATTTTGTTTATTGTTACACTAATTTTAGTTTTATCTTTAAACATTATCAATTCGATAATTATGTTTTTGCTCCATAGTCAGATGTCCACCATTTGATAATGACAATTAATTATTACAAAAAGACGCTAAAGCACGCACGATTTTGTACGCGGGAATGCGCTTACTGTTTCCGCGCGCGGTCTTTCTCGTTCCCTTTATCTACATATACATGCACATTGTTTCCTCCGTGAAAGCCGATTCACGTGTAAAAGAGCGAACGTGTAAAGGCAGGTAATATGTGAATTAGATCAAAAGTCATCATTCATTCTATCCAGTTTCAGCTGTTCCAATTGCAATTGCCTTCTAATAGACCCCAACTGGGTCAATATACTGACACTCTTACCTTCATCGTTAGGCAAAGACTTCAATATATTCTTCTGTACCACAGGCACCTTCCATTTATCATCAACTAATTTCATTGCATCACTCAAATTTGAACTATCAACTTTATCCGATTGTGTTACGGGCGAATGTCGTAGAACAGGGATTGGTAATGGATCTTCGACGTCTTTCTGTCTTGTATTCCGTGATTTCAGTGCATCTTTATTCCGTTCGTGTACTCTATCAAAGTTACCAATACTTTCTATATCTAAGCCACGTGTATTCTTCATATTATCCGGTCTATTTCTTAGTACATTGTCTTTGAAATTAAGATTGCGTCGTAAATAACTGTCTACGTCGTAATTTGGCGAGAATATCGAATTGTCTGATATATTCGTTGAGAATGGTTTGTCTTTGTCCCGTATTTGGTAACAGTATGGTAATTTGGTAACGTTGGTATCGCTCTTCGACGTCACCGTATTACGTTTGGCAGCGACCAATAAACGTTTTTGGTCTTTGTCGATCTCGTTTTGTAGTTCTGAACGTTTCTGCGAGTATTCCAAAGTTTCGTCTTTCATCTGAAACCAACACAATTATAAATTATCTTACTAATATTATAAATGCGAAATTTTGTGAATATGGATCGATGTTTGTTACTCTTTCATTCTTCGAATGAGCGGTAGATAAAAAAAATATTATGACTATACAAAAGTGCTTAAATTAAGTTTATTTGAATAAAGGATATTTCTATTCTTTCATGCAAAAACTACTCAATGGATTTTGATGACATTTTACAGTAATATAGCATAAAATATATTACTATAAAATTTCAGGCGGATGAAACCGCGGACACAGACAGTTAATATTATAATTAAACGGGTTTTAACACGAATAATTTTAGAGGAACGAAAGGTATTTACCTCGACGTGTTCACGAACTGACTGGAGTAATGTGTAGAAAGTTTAAGGTATTGTAAATGTACTGTGTCAAAAGGTTAAGAAACACTCTTGTGACCGTGACCGATTCGATTTTATAAATATATACTTGTGATTACCTACTTCTTCTATTTACAATAATTTCATTTGCGATAATTGTACAAGATGCTCATATATAAAATATTGGTCCTTCGTATGAAGCTAAATAAGAATAAACGGTTAAGACAAACAAAATTGCATTATTTTTAAGAATTTTATAAACATTATTTTGCTAGTTAAATTGCAAAATTAATGTTTATAAAATTATTATCATTTCAAATCATTGTCTAACAATTTTCATGTTTCATGCAAGTTAAGGCAAGGCATAAGTGATCGTAATAAGCGAACTACAATTCAAATTCCAAATAGGTCCAATTTGAGACCTAAATAGGTACAATATAAGACCTAAATAGGTACAATTTGAGACCTAAATAGGTACAATTTAAGACCTAAATAGCTACAATTTGAAACTTAATAGGTACAATTTAAGACCTAAATAGGTACAATTTAAGACCTAATAGGTACAATTTAAAACTTAATAGGTACAAGTTACGACCTAAATAGGTACAAGTTAAGACCTAAATAGGTACAAGTTAAGACCTGAATAGGTAAAATTTAAGACCTAAATAGGTACAATTTAAGACCTAAATAGGTACAATTTAAAACTTAATAGGTACAAGTTAAGACCTAAATAGGCACATTTTAAGAAATAAATAGCCTAGTAATTAAGTTTCTTAATACGACCGGAGGTTATGACGTATGTTAAACATACACTTACAGTGTTTGTGATCTCGTGTTGCTTGCCTATTTCCCTCTCATGCGCCATCCGCAGCATCCGCAGCTGTTCCTCTAGCCGACGCATCTCAGCTTGCTCCAGCATCCTTAGCACATGAAAAAAAATGCCACGCTACATCCTATGTGGTAATGTGGTAAGTAGCCCACTCATGCATAAGCGAAATACCTCCTTTGGTATACACTATACCCTGAGGAGATAAAAATCATCAATACAATTTTTTCTTAATGACTGATGGTCTATTTTACTTTAACCCACGTTGTAGTTTTATTTTATAAGTAAAAAGAAAATACAGAAAAAGACGTTCAGTATACGGAGTATATATTAGGAAACGTTTAACAAGGCATTGAAGTATAAACAAAAATGTACAATAAACGAACTATACATTTAAATACAAATTTAGAATAAAAAATACATTACTGATTAGCCACTACAGTACAACAACCCACAAAAACCTTATTTAGTTTATCTCTAATAAGTCAGATGTAGTACCTAAGATTTTTGTAGGTTGCCAATACGAATAGTGTTTTTCTACTCACTTCTCTCTCGTCTTCCTTTCTTCTTTTATCCTCTGCTGCTCGAGGATTTGGTTCCTGAGCTCTTGCTGGTAAAACTGGCGACGTTCTGCTGCTTCCTAAAACAAGGTTTTGATGGTCTGATGAGCACTATAGTCTGTTTTAGAATCCCAAAGACAAATTTGATATTTCCGATGTTACCAGATTTTTGCATTTTTTAAATAGGGTTGTGGCACTATCGGAAATTAATATGAATTACCTATTTTTATAACTTACTTAGAAATACGTGTGGGTGTTTACGCATTAACAAAATTAATAAAGTATAGCTATTAATAAATATAGGGTTGTTGTATCAAAAAAGTAATTATTTTTCACAAAAAATTGACATTTACATCTGTCAAGTTAGTCTCCGGGATTAAAAAACAGACTATAGTCATAGGCCAAAAGGTAATCCATAAATTGCGTCATACGATAGGGTGAGAGAATCGACAAAGGGTCGACATTGTGTGACAAGAAGTAGGATACTAAACTAAGGTACCAAATTTTTATGTCACACTCTAAAATCTAATATATCTATATCTATATTAACACACGAGATGAAAACATTGATTCTTTGACTCAAACTGAAATGGTGAAATTCGAAGTTATAATTTATGAATAAATAAGTTCACGTAGTAAAGTTTTCTCAAATAGACTTCTACTAACATGACTTCCACGCATTTCACCTTGGATACCATCGCGATAAACTCCTGGTGAATTTAACACTATACAGTAACTAACCTGACCTCATTCTAGCATCACCATTAGTGCTGGCAGAAGCACCATTATATTATCATAATAATTAAAAATAAAACATAATATACATAGAAAACACCCAGAGAGACAAAAACAATTATACTCATAAATACAAATGTTTGTGCCGTGCGTGGAATCGAACCCACGACCTTCGGAAGAAAATTGGTGAACTAAACCGCTAGACCCTTAAGGCAGTCAATTTTATCATCAATATATTACTCTGTAATAGACCTACATCAATAAAGATATTTTGATTTGATTTGATTTCTGGCAGTTTCGTTTTTATGCTGTATTACTGTTTTAAGAGCCATACTTAGTTGTCCCTTCTGAGACAGCTGTGTGATGTTTTTTGTGTTAATAATACCTTCTCAGCCTGCAGGTTTCGTCGATGTATAGCTTCTGCGTCCAACAAGCCTCCCTCGCGCCGCAATCGACCACCCGCTAACAACAACATTGTTATTTATATAAAAACTATTATTATTTAAATAAAAAAGCGCTACTTACATAATATAATAACTGAACAATTTTCACAGCGCCATCTAGTATCAAGTTAAACAGAGCCGGTGTTATGGCTATTAGACAACTGACATAAATACTTAGATGATTTTTTTTATATGACCTACTTCGTCGAAATCTTGGGGGCTTCCAATAATACTAAGTCGAGATACAGAATAGAAGAGTATTTTTTTTGGACTACTCTAATACTGTTGGTCGCAGCTGGTCTTCACAGCTTTCACCGGACGATAGTGGGCTGGTACAGATGGCACTCCAAACTAAAGGAGGTACTAGCGAGGTACTAAAGAGGTATTTAGCGGCTGAAGGCCAACTCTCGTCTGACGAATACGACTTTAGTCTGATGGCACCGCTAGGGGTTCGAACCTCGGTTCAGGCCGTCGTAATTAGACGGATCGCAGGCGGCATGTGTAGGATGTTCTTGTATGCTGCTACGATTTATATAAACAGATTCACTTACAGTCGTAGTCGCCGCAGCTGCGCCGCCTGTTGTCTGCGACGCCCCCGTCGCCCCCCGCGCCGCCCCCGGGGGGCCAGTGTAAGCGTCCGTCGACAGTACGAGGAGACAGCTCGCGCTCCGCTTCCGTCAGTCGAGGCTGCGATCGTGACATCGGTAACTGTAAAATACAAGTATATCTACTATTTTCTACAGTTCTATTACTGACTCTTATCTTACTTAGTCTATGAATATTATACAATACAATTCAATGAAAAAGAAATAAGCCATGTAAGAGATGTTAATGATTTATGATCTTAATTATCTCGTGCTCATTAAGGATTAAAAATTCATAGAATATAAAAAAAAACACCTATTACTAATCAATAAAAAGAATTATTTTAATATTGCCAATAATTCGTTTTTTCACAGATATTCTTTCATCCATGAAATGCAAATGCACACGAATGCAAAAGGAACAACGATCAATGTTTGCTACGAATTACGTAAAGAATCTTAATACTTCAAGTATGTAAGTTAATTTTTAGAATATATATGTATATATTTAAATAAAATATTTCCATATTTTATTTGCAGCATTCTCACGTTTGACCGTAAGAAATGCATTGAAAAATAGAATTATCTCTGCCTACCCCGTAATTAGGGTGTTTAATAATAGACGAATACATGTATGCTTTTGTATTTGAAATGAAAACGAAACTATAGCGAGATGTAAAATTGATCTATGCAGCGCCATCTATTGTCATACTTTGGTATTATATATACAGGAAGAATTCGTAACAAATTTTATGATTATATCAGTTTTCATGTTTTATATATTTTTTAAATTTTAATATTTATATTTACATCAAGAGCAGTTTAAAAGAGCAACACACAAGTTTCTCGCTCGTTCTTCTTGTGATGAGATAGCTTTCCGAATGAGCGATAGATTAAAAAAAATGTTATGACTATTCAAAAGTGCTTAAATTAAGTTTATTTGAATAAAGTATTTTCTAATCTATTCTATTCAAGGCTTTAGAATACAGGCTGTTCTAGTAAGCATTTCAAAGTCAAAAGGTTATATACATGAATAACATTTAAAGCACTTGTCAACATATGTATTTTCTTTATAGTTTTAAAGTAAATTAGTAATTAATACTTCAACTACTAATTTACTATTCATCAGTATTACCACTATTCAAATAAGAGCTGGCAGAAATCAAACTTTCTTCAACAAGTTTGACATTATCTAATTTTATTACGATTAACATTGTAAACTGAACATGTAGAACAAAATCCTACCCAAAACCCCATATTAAAAAATGACAACTTGCCAAAGCAAGCAAAAATAAACGAAACGAACTATAAAACAGTTTACTTTAATATAGTATTTAGAAATACTTACTTTACTTTGCTTCTATATTAGAAATACAAAATAAAAAACTAACTTTGTATTTTTGAAATGCAAAATTACAAAAAGCACTTGCACTTTCTATTTACGTTTTGTAGGCTATTTTGTTCATCTTTTAGTACTACAACTATCTATATCTATCACCACGACAGATCCGTAACTGGCTAGACAGGGAGAATTACGTCGTACTATTAATTAAAAAAAACAGACTCACATGGAAGTAATCATCATCTTCGGTTTGTACGGCAACTGAGAGGGGAGTTGTGATACTGTCCACTTGCACCCCTGTATCCACTTTGCTGGAAATTATATTAAAACAAATATATATTTAGTTATTGTGTGTTCATTCATGTATACATACTGCAAAATTCATTTAATGTAGGTAAGCTAATGTTGACTTTTTTGCTAAATAAATGTATATTATTATTATTTATTTATATAACTTTAATGCTAAATAAATATAGATGTAAAAGTCCATATGAGTGACGATATGCTGATTGAAGCTCTGTGGTCTAGCGGTTAAGCACATCGCTTTGTAACTTCCATAGGTGTCTATTTATAACATTAAATTAAAATCCCGTGCATGAACAACTCGCCATGCATTTTTGTCATTTTAGTGAGTTAATAGGCTCAATAAATATGATTTAACAGATGATCTAAATTTATTTAAAGGTAACTCCGGTATATGTTTTGGTATCTTATTGTAATTTATTTATTTATTTTCAAACACAAAAATATTATAAATTTGATTATACATTGGACACCGCACTAGGCGAATCTGTATCGCCGTAGTCCACAAAAGAATTTTCAGGTGATTATTATTAACTATTACAGAGCAGTGAGAAGAGTAGATTCGACATATCAAACGATTTAAGATATTTTAATTTGATTTTATAAAAACATTCCAAATCAATTGTAGATTTATACCCATTCCAATTAAGCTATGACTTGTATACTATACATACAGATAATTAGTTAAGGGCAGACTTGCTACTCACTTGGAATAGTATGCATCGTTATAGGTGCTGGCCCGCCGCCGGTCTGGACTGTACTTCTGACGTTCTACCGTCCCACTCTCCCGTCTCTTCGCTACCTGCTCCCTATTCTTCTCCTCCTGCTCTCTCTCCCTCTCTCTCTCTTCTTGTTCTCTCTCCCTCTGCTCCCGTTCACGGCGCTCCCTTTCGGCTTTTTCTTTTGCCTCTTGCTTCTTTTGCGCTTGCTTGAAATTTCATGACAAAGGAAGTGTTTCAATACAATTATACATATGTTTGCTAATTGGTAATTAAAAATATGTATAGACATGATATATGGACGTGTTTTAGAGTAGAGACCGCGAATTGGCAAATGTAGCGTAGGACGCCCTGTAACTAGGTGAAGGGCTGAAGAACGTGCCCAGTGTAACGCCTTAGAAGAACCCTATGCCCAGCAGTGAGCTCATTATTATACTCATTATTAATTGCGCAGGTCTATTAGTTGCTAATAAATTTGGATAATTCTTTAAAACCAAGCCCTTCATTAATATCTCTCCAGGGACCTTGTTATTCACTACAATCCTTTATGGGTTGAACCACATCCAAGAGCTTCATCCCTTCTACAATTGTTGAGTACTCACCTGGTCAAGATACTCTCTGTACTGTTGTTGTCTCAACTTGCGTAATGTGTTGCGTCTTCTTTCATACTCGCCGAGACCCAGTAGAACATCCCCCGTGGGTCTTTCGCCGCGGATTAGGGGGTTATTCGGCGAGTACTCGCCCGCTTTCAGCATCACTGGCAAGCCGAGATAACGCTGTAAATTGAAAATATTTATTTATTTATCTATAATTGCACATGCATATACAATAAACTTATAATAAATTAACAATACACACATGGACTCTGTTTAAAAAGTCTAGCAATTTAGTAGATGACTCTTTCCATATTTTGGTCTGTCGGTTTGTTAGGACGAAATATAATAAGTAATAATAAATTATTTCTATTTTTTTAAATAAAAGTTAGCCCATATCCGTCTTATTGTACATGTTGATCCGTTCATATGTATATTCATGAGAAAGTAACAAACCAGTAAAATAGACAAACATACACGTTCTAATTTATATAAGGAGTATATTCCGACAGCATCTGTAGTTTAGCTTACCGCTTTACTTCTTGGTCTTGGTCGCGGGTTCGATTCCTCGCACGGCACAAACATCTGTATTCATGATTATGATAGTTTGTATCGGTCAGGCTGTTTACTAGATAGTTTGTATCGGTCAGGCTGTTTACTATGTATATTAAGCACGAATAAAAAAAAAAAGTAACTCGTATCAGTTGTCTAGATTTAAATGGCGCTCTGTGAATTGTCCTGATTTCATATACAAATGTACACGCTGCACAAAGTGGCGTTCAGCACTAGTTTTAAAATAAAACCGGTACATTTAAACGGTAGTTAACCTAATAGCGAAATAAAGGCACAATTTAAAATCCAATGTTGATTGCTCAAATCAACGTAATAATAGCAAATTGTGAATGATTGTGTGCATTGCAAAAACTGAAGACGCTTCGGTCATCGAGTTTTTTCCATAGTACGGGCGCGAAGAATGTTATCATTGATTTGCATACTGACTACAGACCAATTAACTCATTACTCTGTCGATGATAAATGGACTATTAACATGCGATAATTAAGGCAGATTGTATATGGATGGATTGCAACAAGTATGTTCTATTTAGAATATAATAAAATAGAAAATCCTTTATTCAAATATACTTAAGTTAAGCACTTTTGAATAGTCATAACATTTTTTTTAATCTACAGCTCATTCGGAAAGCTGTTTCATCACAAGAAGAACGAGCAAGAAATTGTGTTGCTCTTTTAAATAATCCTTGTAAGTTTACATTTACAAGTCGAAACGTGTGTATACAAGTTACCAACTAGCACTAATTTATTAGGGTCAAATATAAATATACACAATAAGATTAAATCAGTACTGATAAGAGCAGACCAGACCCTACAAGCAGCAGTCGTTCACGAGTATGACGGATGAGCCAGCCATCACTGCGCTCGAATATGTTTTATTTTTATTTTATTTATTTATTTATTTATTTATTTATTTGCAACATTAATGTTACAAATACAGGGGGGATGAATATTCGTTCAATGTATTCAGCCTGCTAACATTATTAGCAAAATTTATATGTTATTACTTTTATAAATTGAATTAATTTTTAAAGTATTTCTAATAATTAAATTAAATTATTTATATATTAAAATATGTCAAAACTAACAATTTTACATGTCAAAAAAATCTTATCATACTATAAAAACAATTTTCTAATAACCAATTATAAAGTCTAGATTTAAAAAGTCAAAATTCATTTTTATGTCAGTTGGTAAAAAATTGTAAATTTTAATCATCATATAAAGGTATTTTTTCGGAGATTAACAGCATATATATTGGTTTTTTCTTTAATTTTGGAATTAATCTTTATTTATTTGAAACATTAAGACACAAATACAGGGCGAAAGTTTTAGTAATGGCATCATGATCACGTCGGTTCCCCATAATTTCGCGATCGTGATAAATTCTTGAAAGAATTTGTCACGATTTGCACACGCAAACCAATGCTCATCTTATCATCCTCCACTGGTTACTTGAAAGTTTGATTATATTATAAAATACACAAATATATAGAGAGCATATGGCGGACTTAACAGCATAAGGCAGTTTCTCCCATTGAACCCTACAAGCGCTTTATCCTTCGCATCTAATCAAAGCTAGAAAAAATCTACAACCCCTAACATTTACGGCATGAAAATTGTCGATGTTGGCCGATTTCTAGACTTATTCAATACGCTCACAAAAACTTATATGACAAACAGTTACTTGAAAGTTTGATTATATTATATTTATATATAGAGAGCATCGAGTCTTATAGTGGTTTATTTCGTCTTATAAACCCCAAACGCCAATAACCTGAATAGGGCCAACAGCAAAAACTTATTCTATTTTCAAAAATATTTGTTTTTATAAACCCTAAACGTTATGAGAGATAGGGCCCTAATAAATTATTTATTTATAACTAGCTATCCGCCCTGGCTTCACAGGGGTGTATCGTCATATATTATACATATAAAACTTCCACTTTAAAACAGTTTAAAAGATCTATTTTTGTGTTGGTTAGTCCATTTGTCGAAGAAGGCTTTATGCTATATAACATTACGCTACGACCAATAGAGGCAAAGCATCAGTTAAAAATGTTGCAAAAACGGGGAAAATTATTCATATTTGAGAGGTTCCGACTTCTACTATATATATGGCGAAATATACTGACAGTGAAGGTAGTTGTTAACAAATGGTACAGCCCCTTACACAAATGTCAATTTCCAGAACATCCAAAAAAACTCATCAAGTATTACAATTGTGAATGAAAAAGACATTTTCGCGTGTGATGCGAGGTCATTTATTTTCCCGACAAAGAAAATGGAATGAGGGTAATGAGTTATAGTGCGTGTCTGCCGAATATTCAGCTGGAAATAATTTCAGTTGATAATGTCACGTCAGGTTCATTTTATCATAAAATTTATGTTTATGTATAGCCTCGTCGGTGTTGTTGTTTTGCAAATGGTATCACTTTCCGGTGGTCGCTGGTACAAATCATACATAATATGATTCGCGAATGAAAGTATTGCTCAAGTATTTGCTTTTAAATTTGAATATTCTTAAACTTAATGATACTTTTTTTTAGTCTATACTAATATTATAAATAGGGAAAGTTTTAGAGGTTGCGAGGAACCTATTTTGAACGTTGGATAATTCACTATGAATTTTCGGGACGAGGAGCGGGGCGGGGAGGGGGATGGGGGAGCAATATCATTAATATTTAAGTCCCAAAAAATGAAATATTTATTACTTATAAAATAATCCTTCCTGATTAAGGATATATTTGACGTGTCTATGGCATAGATGCTCCTAATTGTATGAATCTATTATGTTTTAAAAATTATAGTTATATGTTTTTCCGTGTTTAAAAGCATATGTAATCGAGATGGATCTTGAGACCACTAAGTCCTTCTACAAATTATGAAGATCTGTTCAGTCATTTCAAGATCATCAACTATTTTTGATAACTAAGGCAGGCATCTTAGAACTAGAAAAAATAGTAACTTTATTATTTTTTAAAATTTTAGATCCATAATTAAGTTAAAACGGGGTTTTCATATTTTATACCTCGACTCCTATTTTAGAGAGTACTTAAAGCAGGCCACAAACAAACACTAATAAACCATAATAACGTCATTAATTTCGCTAATGTTTCGCGGTGGCCAGGCCCATGCCGCTCCTGTATGGGCACACCTTCCATTGTAACGAGTAAACTTTGCGACTAAACAATACAGCGCCGTGTGGATGACCTATAAATTGTGGGGGAAGGGATTCTTAGTAAGGGATCCCCCTATATATTTTTTTTAATCATAGATAACCATTATAGACCAGGGTCGATAATTTTTTAAACCAAAAAAAATAATAATAGTAGCATGAAACCCATTGGGAAAAGAATATAACAAAAATGATAGGAAAAATGATTTACAGGCGATCTGAGGTCTGAAAGTAGAAGGGGGTGAGTTTTTAAGGATAAAAACAGTATTGTTTTGCATTTTCTGAGTCAATTAACTATAGTAATGTGTATATTTTTAGAATACCAGAAAGTAATGATTTCAATGAATCAAAAGCCAACGACTTATTAAAAACAGCAGATATTTTGACGATATATTATTACCAGAGGAGATGACAGGATGAACCTGAGTTAGTGAAGCCCAAGTTTGTGGCGAATGGGATACAACATACAGCAGTGAATATGATTAGATATATATTATGTTGGTATTCTTCATTAAATATAAATATATATATCTTATATATAAAATTCTCGTGTTAGTTTTCGTTCCCATAATCATTCATTAAATAAATAAATATATATATTAGATAATACATTTTTATTTTTATTTTAAGGCAAAACAACCTTTGACGGGACAGCTAGTATATTATATAATACATATTTATTAACAAAGTCGTCTGTGCTAGCGATTGGAAGTTATACTGCTAGAGTGATCTAACTTTATTATTAAAAAAACTCCTTGTTGAGAATAAAAACGGTAAATTGTGAGTCAGACAAGAGGACGCCAAAAAAAATTAATATTTTAATGTTCACCGCCACCCATGTTACCACTTCTAATAAGATGACGATGCAAAGTTGGCGTAACAATAATTTTCTTCGTAACCTATTTTTTGGCGATTTTCATAAAGAAAACCAATTTCCTATGTTACGAGTCCATTATTTTTCCATTATACCCACGTAATATACCCTAATACGCGTGTAAATGCCGTAAAAGAGCTTACGATTCGAGTTTGTGTATAACGTTTTATCGATGATTGCTTTTATAAAGGCATTTAATTACCATATCGTAAATTGACTTCCTCCAATTTCTTTTGTGGTACCTACGTCTTATATAGTGTTAGGTTTTGTTTAATAAGTAATTTTAATTATTAATATTAATAAGTAATAGTAATAACAAATACTGGCTGAAGTTTGTAATGTGGATGGTTATAAGGGCAGAGGTAGGCCGAAAAAGAGATGGATGGATGTCTGAAAGATTATATGATAAGAAAGGGACTAAATAAAGAGATGACTACGAACAGGGATGAGAAGAACATATTACGCCGACCCCAAATAAATGAGATAAGGAAGAAGCAGATGATCACTTGCTGAAGTTTGTGAGTATGAATGGATAGATCGATGGATGGATGGATGGAT